GAGGGTGGTACGCACCTGGCACAGACCAGCTGATTACATCCCATACAAAATCTCGAGCATCCGACGCACACAATACTTCCACATGGACAGCGCAAATTTCCGCCACAAAAGTGCATAAATATCTAAAAAGGCGTTGGAGCAAAAAAAAAAAAAAAAAAAAAAAAAAAAAAAAAAAAAAAAAAAATCCGTAGTACACGACGCGAAGTAATTACAATTTTTTATCATCCAACAAAAAAAATCGCAATAACAGTACAAACGTGTCAATAAGCTAAAGAAAGACAAAAATGCAAAAAAAAAAAAGGGAAAAAACAGGCACAAATATATATATATACATATATATATATATATATTGATGTAAGTCTTACAACAACGACAAAATATGGTTTCCGCTAATAAGAAGTAAAAATATAATCCTTAAATTAAGAAATTTTAGTAATCCAAACTGATAAGATACTCAGCGATCCGTTTCACGGTGGAGTTGCAATCGGCAGGATTGACTGCAATTTCTGCTCCCTCCTTCTTTTCAAGATCCTGTTGAAGAGATGAAGAAGTTCCGGGATTCCCGTAAACTGCAATAATAGCCGTCTGTTTTGATGTATAGATGCATCCACCCGCCGCACCTTTTTTGAAAAAGATGTATTTCATTTCGCCTTCTTCACCAGACTGAAGACCAAAAAACTTCACACCATAAATAGTCACGCCGGAGGACTGCACGAGTGAAAAATTTCCCAGGCACTTCAATATATGGGCAACCTCATCAGGCTGTGGGATATAGGTTCCTCCATAACCCCAGTAACTCCCGTCGGAAAGACCAACAATCGCCGCACTGTGCATGTGTCCACTGCCGATAAGGCTGTCATCGATATACGCCTGCCACGACATTTAAAAGTTCGAATTTCCTTTTTTAATATCCAATATTTCCTTTAAAAAAAAGAAATTAGCAAAACAAAGAGCTTTTTCTTCTTTTTTTTTTTAGGATGCATATGGATAAATTTATATATTTTACATATATCAGAAACATGTGCAATATGCATGCAAATATATTTGCAGCTGCTCAATTTTCCCCAAAAACTCAGATAATCATTTCAAATTAGCGGCAAATACTTGAGTCACCCAGATGAATAATAATAATAATAATTCCTAAAGAAAGTTCTTTTTTTCCCTTTATGCGTAAAGGCGTTTTTTTTTTTTTTTTTCTTGGAGGGGGGTTTAGCAAGAATATATATGAAAAAGCTAACTAAAACCGTTCCACCCCAATATATATATATATATATATATATATCGTATTTCATTCAACGCCACGCATACGCTCACATGCATTACGGACGCACAAAACACCAAGAAAGTAAAACAACTAACAAAAACATATAAACAAACAAACAACAACAAAAAAAAAACGTTTCGGAGGTTTGAGTGGGGAAACGCTAGCATCTTTTTGAGTGTAAATACTGCACAATTATAAAACTTAGGGAAAGAACGAAAGAAATACAGCCCATAAGAAGAAATAATATACCCAAAACGTAATTTTTCCCACCGATCCAAGAACGTGTCACTAGACTCACATATTTCTCACCAGAAAAGGAAAAAACATCAAAGTTTTCCACGATATCAATCAAGTAATTACCAGGTACCAAATCTGTCGTGATGATACGGTATTTTTTTGTAAAATCCTTCATATATGATAAAGAAGACCATACAATATAATCTTCATCAACATTTGAGGGAATTGGGTGTCCAGGTTCTTCATAATAATATCCTTCTTTCTGGTAAGGGTCATTTGCAGCAGGATCGCCTCCAAACCTCCATACCGCGCTATCTTTCTTCCCATCTGTTAGAGGGTGAAACAACCTCACATCACTAGACAATGCAATTCCTTTTTTTATACACAAGTTTTTTTCATTCAAACTGTTGCCTGCTGCGTCAAATGCCCCTCCATCACAAATCAACTTGGCATTTTCAAAAACTTGAGAGTTAATATTGCTTTTAGATGCATCAGATAATCGATATAAACTAAATGAATCATTGAAGAGACTCCAAGCAATTGCGCCGCATGGAAAATAAATACCAAGAATCCTCCGGTTATGATATTCTCCAGGGAAACGAAAAGGTTCACATGCTGCTGAAACAGGGTAAGCGTTTCCTTCTCGCTGGGCCAAATTTCGTGAAAATGCATAACGTCGATAATTCTGATAAAACCCAACTAAAGCATATTGCAAGTAAATAGGGGACGCCAGACTTTTCAAAAGAGTAAAGTTTCTACTAACATGAGCTCCAGTAGAAAAATTGGAATTATTGAACCTAAACTTATGCGGATACTTACCATCGGGACCAACTCGGTATTGATAGTTATTTGTCTCATCGTATCTTATACTTAACTCAAAAACAGAATCACTTGCCTTAATGACAACAACACCAATGGGTATAAATATCACGGCCAACAAAATGAGCGTAAGAAATACAGGACAAGTCGAATGCCGAGTATATTTTCCCAAATAAAAGCGTTCAAAACGCTTGCTCGTTTCCGGTTTAATTACCGACTGCTCCGTAGAATCTGACATCTAATTCATTCAACTAAAAAAAAAGAGGAAAAAGAAAAAAAATCCATAAATAATGGAAAATATAAAGAGTCCAACAAAAGAAAATAATAAAGAAATAACGAAAACAACGATTACAAAAAAGTAAAAAAAAAATAATAAATAAATAAAAAAATAAAATATATATATATATATAAAGCAATAATAAATAAATTATTATTATTGCCTTCGTCTTGAAAAAGAAATTCTTTCTTCAAGGCATGTTTGTTTTGAAAATTAAATCTTCTTTTTTGAATAGACTACATTATCACCTTCTTGAACTCGACAGACAAGACCACTGGAAAAAAATACAGGTGCCTTGTAGCTCGGAATAGTGTCCTCTTTTAATGAATAAGAACGATTTTTCACTATACAATTATCATGAATACTTCTCAAAAAATGAATATAGTCTTCAACTTCTCTGGTCTTAGTCCAATTATCCGCCAGCTCAAGTATGGAAACGGCAAAAGAACCAAACTCTACTCCAACGCTGCCTCTTTTATCATAAGTAAAGTCTTCCGCAATAGCTGCAGAAGTAGAAGTTACAACACTAACATTATCAATTCTAAGAATATACGAATAAAGCCTAAAGTGAAAGGCCTTGTAACTGTCCTCCAAAATAGCGCCATTAGATATGCCGCCCAAATCCGCCCACAAGGCTTCTATACACAGTCTTATTTCTCGATGCAAAGAAATCTTTCGGCGAAACGAATCAATCTCTTCTGCAGTTAATTTGGTGTCAAACATCGTCGCTACACGTACCCATTTTCTTTCCTCGTCACGAGACTGTAATAAAGCACCTAACAGCTCCTCAAGGCGATTTTTTTTGCGATAGGCATCAGAATCCACCAAGTCAACAACCACAGAAGTATATGGATGACGCAGACTCACAAGCACACGATGAGAAAAGCTAAACAAACGTGGACTAGAAATAAAGATTCGTTCGGCCAGATTTTCCACCGTCCACTGGGACTTACTTTTGAAAGGACTATAAGATGCCCTCATAATTTCCGCCTTCAGTTCGGAAAAATAAAAACAAATTTATAAAAGAAAAAACAATGCTATAAAAATTATCAATATATATATATATCAAAAATCAAAAAAAAAAAAAAAAAAAGTTGTAAACCGTAAAAAAAAAAGGAAAGGGAAAAAAAAATCGGCAAAAAATAAATCAAATAATAAAAACTCCTAGGCCAATATAAAATATGAAAGCAATAACAATAAGAATCATGGCAATAATAATAATAATAATATTCTTTCCTTTACTTTTTTTTTGATCAGCAAGCACATGAATAACCCGTCCTACTTTCTTGTTTCGCTGCAACCTCCATCGCCCTATCTCCCCCAATGTTGACTTCTTCCGCAGTCATACTCAACCCAGTCTTAGCGACTTTCAAAAAGGCTTCACTCACAAACTCCCCCGAAGCAGCGGAAGTTTCAAAATGAAGAAGACCGTTTTCAAGAGAATACAATGACGCCTCGTTGTGCTGCACAGTTCGACCGTCAGAAAGATCACTTTTATTCCCTATTAGCATGACGACAACATCCTTTCCTGCAAGTTGCCGGACATCATTTAACCATTGTGGCACACTTTCGTATGTTGAACGTTGAGTAATATCATAAACAATTAGACATCCTACCGCACCCCTATAGTAACTTCTCGTAACAGATTTGTATCTTTCTTGTCCTGCAGTATCCCATATTTGTAATTTCACCTTGCGACCTGCAAGCTGAACAATTTTAGAGCCAAACTCAACACCAATTGTCTGTGCCTGTTGTTCTGAAAAAGTATCTTCTACAAATCTATGAAGGAGAGAAGACTTTCCAGTGCCGCTATCACCCACAAGAATGAGTTTGATTAATTGCTGATATTTCTCGGCCATTTCTGCCTACAAGAATAAAAAGAAAACAAATCAATAAAATGACAATCAAAAATAATTTTAAAAAACAGCAACAAGAAAAGAAGCGCACACACCAAACAGTCAAGGAAAAAAAAACGCACACACACAACCACCTGTTAAGACCCAAGTCCCAAACACACTTCCTAACGGCAACGTCAGCAAGACCCCGCCACCGCCTAGTTATTGAAGCATCTCGTTCCATACGCCGCCGCTTGGGCCGCCATCCGACACGCAATTTTACCGCCTTGCTTTTTGCGCGGGCTACCGCCACGGTAGCGGGTCATTCCCCAGTTATTGCGGAAGAATGTTTGCATTCCTTTAAACCCGTTTTCGCCCTTTTTTACAGCGTTTTTTGTCGCATTGCTCCCGCATCGCCTTGCTCTTTCGTCGGTGGCTTTCGAGCGGAAAGGCGGCGGCCAGGTGTAGCAGAGTCGCGCTCCCGAGTTTTTTTTTTTGTTTATTTGATCGATTTATTTAATAAATGCACATTTTCTCAACCCGTGCGTACGAGCGCGTGGAGTGATAGAAGGGAATGTCGTGTTTTTATGGTGTAAGACGGGTCGCTGATCGGGCACGCTCTAGCGAATGCCGCCGTGATTTCTGGCCTTTTTTTTGTTGTTGTTGGCGCCGCTTGTTTGGAAAAGCGGCGCGAGGCGAGGTTGTTGCTGCCAGCGCCTGGTGCAACGCCTTTTGCGCTGTCTGGCGGAAGGCGTTCGCTGGAAGAATAGATTCGCCTTCGCCAGGCAACGTGCGTAAAATGTGGTGTGAGGAACCTTACTTTTTTTTAGGAGCCTGTGAAAAGAATGATCGCGGGAGGGCTGGCTAACTTAATTAATGTATGTATATCCTGATAAATGAATGCATTCTTTATGATACTTTCTACCGTATGAATCTTTTGGGAAGAACGCGACTTTGTAGGGGCAGGGAGCCGATAGAGGCCAGATAATATTTAATTTTCATTTCGCCATCCCACCCTAACCCCCTTTTGATTCCCACCACGCGGCGGGGTCTTGTGGTTGGAGGACCCCAAAGTCTGCCACTTCGTAAGTAATTATATTCAAATCCCAACTGAGGACAAAGGACCATGCTAGTAGTCCACAGAATTCTATATATTGAATGAAAAGAAAACATTGAAGCAATTAACTAACGAATCTTTTTTCCTAACTTGTTTGGTTTCCATAGATTTTCAGGATCCGGCCAGCTGCCCGGAAGATTATTCTCTTATTTTTTTACGTTTGAAGAAAATGGACGTTTTCGCTTTTCTGAAGGAGTTTAAGAGGGCGAGGAAGGAATCTGGCGGCAGCGTTCCTTTTGGTGGCGAGGAGAGCGCGGGTGCCGCAGGTGTAACAAACGCATTTTCACAAAACGCAGCAACAACTGGACGTATTTTATCTCCGGATGACTCGGGGGAAAGTGAGCAGAGCATCAGCGATCGTGAAGCCGAAGATGCGCCGCCTTCATATCTCTGAGAAGCAAGAGGCAACGGTATGATGCATTTTGGCGGCGCACGCAAGAGGGAGGTTTGGGCCGTACACGCGAGTCTTTTACGGAGATAAAAACGTACCGGACGAATCGGTGTCCAAAGACGGACAGCAGCATCCCCAATGCGACAGTTCGGAGGGCAACTCACTCCATTCCTTTGCGAGTAGCAGCCAAGAGGGGTGGCGCGTCAACCGTTAATAAACTACGTGATGAGCTCTTGCGGAAAAGAACTCTCTCAGTCAATCAATGGTGGTGAGGGAGCATACAGGCGGTTGTTGTGCGGATGATTCTCGGGAGTGTGCATTGAGCACAGGCGCTGAGGAATTTCTTGTCTGTGTAGATGATCTTATTGCCCCTGAGAACACGGCTATGGGTCAGTCTCCCTTTTTGGTTGAGGATCGTGCGGCACAACTGCAGGCCAGAAATGAGGGTGATGTGGCCACAGCCACACCGAAATATTCCACGGAAGAGCAGCAGTCTTCTTCTCTTCCTCCTCCTCCCCCTGTTGAGGTGGAAGTGCGCCATGAGAAACCGAGGACTGAAAGAGTGAGTTTGTTCGCTCGAGCAAAGATGTACTCTGGTGCGACTGCCCCTGTTGGGAATAGAGAGTCAGAGGTCTTAAATACGAGAAAGTTTTGAAATAATTAGATTCTGACGAGGAGAAAACAATAACTACCACCACAACAACAAATGGATTCTTTTGAGATAAATTGGAGTTCTTTCAGTTTCTATGCATGTGCTCATTAGGGAGGGGCATTGAGGATGATCTTTGGGTGCGGAGGGATTTTGGCATCACCGGAGTCAATTTTTTGTGTTCCATTTATATTTTCACGATGCCGTAGAATGGAAGAGAGGGGTGGAGAAGAGAAATAAAGAAGAGAGAGGTGGTCGCTTGACATGAATCGTTTTATTGTTGGATCCCCAATTGGTGAGGGCCGCTTTGGCGTCGTTCGTGCTGCAGTTGTTAAGGAATCTGGAGTGCCAGCCGCAATCAAATGCATCACAACTCCACGTCTCGATGAGGGTATTCCGCACCCCACAGCGAGGGAACTACTCGTTGCATTGCGGTTGGTGCACCCTTTTGTTATTCGGACATATGAGGTAGCTCCATGCGGCTGCTCCTTGGCGTTAGTGACGGAGCGTTGCAAGACTGACTTGGCAACAGTCCTCTCGGGGAGAACTGCCAGCAATCCTCTGCCCGCGTTAGAGGCAAAGACTTTATTTAAGATGCTTCTTTTGGCGTTAGCGTACATACACAGCGAAGGTGTTCTTCATCGAGATGTGAAACCTTCAAATTGTTTCTTGACTGCGGAGGGGGAACTACGCCTCGGCGACTTTGGACTTAGTCGTGTATGGGATACGGAAGCATCCATGACTCACGAAGTCGTTTCGAGGTGGTACCGGGCTCCCGAGTTACTTCTGGGCCAGCGACACTACGGACCCGAAATTGATGTGTGGTCATCAGGGTGCGTATTTGCGGAACTTCTACGGGGGTACGGTGGTGCTTTTTTTTGCAGGCGATGGAGATATTAGGCAGTTGCCACGAATATTTGATGTATTAGGGACACCGACGCCCACATCGTGGCCATCGGCGGTGCTGCTTCCCGATTGGGGAAAGGTGTACTTTGAGCCGAAGCGTACTCTTCCTCTCCGTGAATTTTTCCCGGATGCCTCTGAATGTGCATTGGATTTGTTGCGAAGATTACTTTGCCTGGATCCTCGGAAGCGTTTGACTGCGGCTGGCGCCCTTCGTCACGCCTACTTTAGTGAATACCCGACGTGAAGGTCCATGGATAAAGGGACGCGGGGGCTATGTGTGGTGTGCGGGGATGAAAATTGGAATTGCTCGTATAAATGCGTGCCTATTTTCCTTGACAATTCTTTTTGGTTGTTTTTGCCATTTTAATGGGTTATTATTATTATTTTGATTACTGTTTAAATTTATTTTTATTTTTTAATTATATTTTGTATTTGTTCTTGTGGATTTTAAACTGTGAAGCCCAATTTTTATCCAAAGTAAAAGAGAACTAACGCGTGTGCGAGAGAGAAGGAGGGTGGCGAGCACATATCTAACATAATAATGTATCGTTGCTTTCATCATTTCTCCACGTTGCCACTGGCGTTTGTACGACGGACTGCTACAAACAGTTACGTCAATCGCCATATTGGACCATCAGCGGCAGAATCAATTTCTATGCTTCGAATAATTGGCAAAGAAAGTCTGTCGGACCTCATGACTGCTGTGATCCCAGAGAATATTTTGCGAAGTCCCTTAAAAGAGTTTCCGGCGATGAGCGAGCAGGATGCCCTTTCGCTTCTCCATTCACTGGGTTCACGGAATAAGGTGTTAAAGAGCATGATTGGGCAAGGATACTATGAATCGATCACACCACCTGTAATACTTCGTAACGTTATAGAGAATCCTGCATGGTACACCCCATACACTCCTTACCAGGCTGAAATATCTCAAGGCCGTCTAGAGTCCCTGTTGAATTTTCAGTCCATGATTATAGACTTGACAGCTATGAATTTGGCAAATGCATCTCTTCTGGATCAAGCTACTGCATGTGCTGAGGCAATGTACCTTGCCTTTCATCATGGTCGAAAGGAGCGCATGACCTTTTTTGTATCGAGGGATGTCTTCCCATCTTGCGTAGAGATGGCAAAAACAAGGGCTGAGCCCCTTAAAATAAAGGTCTTTGTTGGTGATCCAAATTTGATTGATTGGAGCGATTCCTCACTTTGTGGAATTTTGGTACAAACTCCAGATGCCATGGGGATGCTTCATGATTTTACGACACTGTTTGAGAAGGCAAAACAACATGGTGTCGTCAGTTGTTGCGGGACAGATTTGATGGCTTCTGTTCTTCTCAAACCTCCGGGAGAAATGGGAGCCGATGTTGTTTTGGGATCTGCCCAACGCTTTGGTGCCCCACTAGGGTTTGGAGGGCCTCACGCCGCATTTTTTGCTGTCAAGGAGGAATTTAAGCGATTGATTCCGGGTCGCGTCATTGGTATAAGTAAAGACTCGACGGGTTGTCCGGCCATACGCATGGCGCTTCAGACGCGGGAGCAACATATTAAGAAGGAACGCGCCACATCCAATATTTGTACTTCACAAGCTCTCCTAGCAAATGTTGCGGCATTTTATGCCATTTATCACGGCTCTGAGGGCTTGAAGGAAATTGCGAGCGAAATGCACAATAAAGCCAAAATACTTTCTGTTGGTTTAGAGTCTGTAGGGCATACAGTGGTCAATGGTACATTTTTTGATACCATCACCGTAAATTTAAAAGGTATAACGCCTGAAGACTACGTGACATGCTGCGTGGAAAAGGGCATTAATATTTTTGTTGATTATAGTCATGGCACCGTCTCCATATCGGTGGATGAGGCCACTACCGAGGGCCATGTAGTGTCTCTCTTGGAGGCAGCAGGGCTAAAACTTCCTGTGATAGGTGTCCTTTCAAAACTCGCAGAACAAAAGAGAGCAATGCCTTTGCAAATGCTGCGAAAATCTGTCTTTCTTGGGCATTCAATCTTTCAAAAGTACAAAAGTGAGAGTGAGCTTATGCGGTACATTCACCGTCTTCATAGAAAAGATTATGGTCTCACGCATGGTTGTGTGCCCTTGGGTTCTTGTACCATGAAACTTAATCCAGCTGCCGCCATGTTGTCCTTGTCGTGGCCAGAATTTACCAACATTCACCCTCTTGCACCGAAGGAGCAAACGCGAGGATATAGTGCGTTGTGTTTGGATCTGGAGCAGAAAATAAGGGATATTACCGCTTTGGATGCCGTGTCACTTCAGCCAAATAGTGGTGCTCAGGGTGAATATGCTGGTCTTCGCGTGATCCGCTCGTATCATAATTCAAAAAAGGAGAGCCATCGCAATATTTGCTTGATTCCAGAAAGTGCTCATGGCACAAATTTTGCTTCGGCTCTCTTAGCAGGGATGGTGATTGTAAAGATAAAGTGTTTGGCGGATGGAAGGATTGACATGAAGGATTTGGAAAATTCCTGCCAAAAGCATACAAAGAATCTCTCGTGCATTATGATAACGTATCCGAGTACGTATGGTTTGTTTGACAGGGAAATCTTGGCCATTACTTCGATGGTGCACTACCATGGAGGGCAATGTTATATTGATGGTGCAAACATGAATGCCATGGTGGGTTACACGGCACCTGGATGTATTGGGGGCGATGTGTGCCAGGTTAATCTCCACAAAACGTTTTCAATTCCTCATGGTGGTGGTGGGCCAGGCATGGGTCCTATTGCTGTTCGTCAGCACCTGGCGTCATTCTTGCCAGATTCTGTTTTTATTCAAAATGTTGGTGGTTCCCAGCCTTTTGGTCAAGTCTCTCAAGCAGCATACGGATCGGCGTCTATTCTTCCAGTTTCTTATTTATTAATGTTGATGCTTGGTTCACGGGGTCTCAAGACATGCACGGAGTATGCGATTTTAAATGCCAACTATTTAAAGAAGCGTCTTGACGGCCACTACCCAGTTCTCTTTCTGGGGGAAAACGATTTCTGCGCTCACGAGTTTATCATAGATTTAAGGCCATTTAAAAAAACAGCACAAATTGAGGCAGAAGATGTGGCGAAACGACTCATGGATTATGGCCTTCACTCACCTACCCTGGCATTTCCTGTTGCGGGAACACTCATGATTGAACCCACAGAGTCAGAGTCAAAGCGGGAGTTGGATCGGTTGGCCGATGCACTTATTTCCATTCGTACCGAAATTGCATCCATAGAGAAGGGTGAAGAGAGCACAACGAACAACGTTCTCAAGAATGCCCCGCACACGGCAAAGTGTGTCACATCAGATGATTGGGACAGGCCATACACCCGGAAAACTGCTGCATTCCCTTCGAGCCATTCATACACCGAAAAGTTTTGGCCTTCAGTTGGCCGCATCGATGGAACCTATGGGGACAGAAACTTGATGTGCAGTTGTGCATTGACTAATTTTTGTGAGTAAAACTGTTGCAAGGGGAGGCAGTATTTTTTATTTATTGCCAATTTTATATTTTTATTTGTTTCTGCATCCGTTTCTTGGGTGATGGAGTGTTTTGGGCCTATTTGTGTCTGGTGTGATAAAACTGAACAGGGGAGAGGGATATGATTGTGTGTGAATGCGTGTTTGTCTGTGTGGTCGCAGAATGATTTTATGGTCTTATTCTTTATCTTGTCAAGTACTCTTCTTTAGGATGTACAATAATTCCAACGTGAGGATGCCTTGCCCTTGCAATCGCCTGGATTTTTCCTGCTTATTATTCCCTTTGTTAACACTTTTGTTGATTTGTTAAGGTAAAGCTTTACTGCAACCATACAAATGCATGTTTGTGGGATCTTTTTTTTCGTCAGGCCAAATGTGAGGGGAACTCAGGCGTCTGCCTTTCCCTCACTGTCGTCAAGAGTATTCCGGACACTCATCACGCAAACGTCTCAGATGTAATTTTTTCCTCAGTTTTGAATAATGTCTTGCACTTCAACAACGTCCAGCTTTGAGATAAATGGGGTTACGATGAGAGGGAAATTGTCTACACTTTTTTTTTTTGGTTTATCTTTTAGTTTTTGTTTTCTCTTGTTGCTGTTAGAAAACATTGAACGAGAGGGGTTTTTGCTCTTTTATTTTAGTTGTCCTCTCAGCCTGACGGCCAGTTGTACACTGAAGTGCTCCTCGGCACCTCAGTTGTCACAGTCAATCGCATGCGCCAACTTTCCGTTGCTTTTTTACATTGACGCAATTATTTTTATTTATTTGTTAACTGAAGCCATTCTGTCCGGCGTGCCACTTTGATTGAATTGTGTGGGATTGTCCGCCAACGCCGTCAGAGAAAGCAGGCTAAAGAGTTTACGTATTTAAATGCCGTCTTGCGCGCAGGTGTTTTTCACATGTTCTGCTGTTGTACGCTCAAGCAGCGAGGAATCCGGAACTATGCGTGCGTGGAATTCTTCCTGCCGTTTGGACTGCGGGCAGCACCGAGGGGCTGTCAATTTAATCCGCAGAGTTGTTGCGTCGCTTTTCAGGGCTGGCAGGGAAATTCCATGCAGCCTGCTACTGCTGGTGTGTTCCTAAATGTTGTCACTCCATGCGAATAATGTGCTTCAGCGAGTGAGGGTGTTGATTGGGTTTGTGTGCACTCTGATTCTGTTTGCTGCTTTGTGCGGGCACGCAATACTTGCTTGGTGGTAAAATGTAGCGGGGCGATGCATGGTCGCGTCTTGCCCATTGTTCACTGCACGATGGTGCGGTGCGCATCGTGGTGCTGACTCTCCGATGTGACTGCGGTCCCCTTCGCGGCAGTGGCGGTGGGTGGAGGAGAGTGCTGGCCCGCGGCGTGACGGTGGGATCGTGTTTTCTTTTTATTCTTTTGTGAAGGTGCACACTTATTTTTGGTGTCGGTGATGGGGCAAACAGACAGACAACGTGAATAAAACAAAATAAAAAAAAGGCGGTAGTGTGGCGGTGTTGGGATTGGTTGCACGTTGCGTTGCTGCGGGGACGGTGGGCCTCGGCTGCTTCACCGACAGGCGTTGCAGTGCGGCTGCATGGCGCAGCGACCACCCTGCCGTGCGAGTGCCACGCCCAACGCCGTTGGGACTGCGGGACGAGACAGCCGCGACTGTCCTTTGGAGCCAGCGGCGCCTGCACGCCGCAGTTGGGCGGTGCGAGTGGGATGCTTCACTGCACGGGTGTTGTGATGGCACCTCGCCATGGCTCTTGTGATGGATCTGACGCTGCAGCTCGACATGTGGTGAGGAGTAAAGTTTGGCCGCAGTGGACCATGAGCAGCACCAACATGAGGCTGAATGATTTCCTTCGGAATTATTTTGACGGCAGGGGCGTTGAGGAATTCAATGAGAACGTCTATATGAAGGACTTTTTAGGTGGCCCCAATGAGTTCATCCAAGACGCAAATAAACACAGCCTACTCTTATGTACTGAGAGAAGAGAGGCGGAAGGCAGAAGAAAGGGAAAGGCGGGAACGACAAGAACTGGGGATTGACGTTTCCACTAGGATTAAATATGCGGTTTTTAAAGGAAGGGTTTGCGTGGACAAAATGAAGTTGAATGATTTTCTTACGATGGAATTGGACGGCAGGGGCGCTTTGGGCGCTAATTGGGATGTCTTGCTGGAGGAGTTTTGTAAAGGACCCCAAGAAGCATATTTGCGATGCGGGAGTATTGAAAGAAATGCAGGCATCCGATCGTTACAAGAGGATGGAGAGGGCTGTGAGGGATGAAATGGATATGGAAGAGGATGCAGACAAGCTTCACAAAAATGGTGTGGATAATCTACTGAGGCGGCTGGCAGCTTCTGCGGAGGT